TCCATGGGAAATTCTGTTCAAAAATTTCAGACGGATTTAAATCTGTGGGAAATTTCGTCGAAAATTTCAGACGAATTTAAATCCATTGAAAATTCTGTCATTTAAAAATCTGTCTAAAATTTCGTCAAAAATTTCCCACGAATTTAGATCCGTGGGAAATTTCTGACGGATTTTTGTCCGTGGGAAATTATCCATGGGAAATTTAACTTTTTCTTGTAGTGATTCTTGTAGTGAATTTAGTGTACGTTCACCACTAATAGATTAAAGTAAGAGGATCAAAATTCGTTAGAAAATGTATATTTCTGACGGAATTCGTCAGAAATTTCTGACAGATTTATATAATGTAAATTGGTTGAGGTATTCTGTGGGATGTTAGTGCACTATTGTTGTCTATTAGGTACTTAAATAAATTTCAGTTATTCAGAGAATTAGTTTATGATTCATAATTAAGGGATTTACTATGGATTTTAAAAAAAATATTCACAAATAACTGTTTATTCAAACTCAGAAAAAAAACTACTATAAAAAAAATACTTTTTTTAAAGTAGATAAAATTTAGTTTTTAAAAAAGGCAGAAAAAATTGTTTACTTTAAACTGTTTAGATAAACACATAAAAAATAGTTATTTTATTAAAAAGGTATATTTAAAAAAAAAATTAAACAAACGCACCCATTATATGAAATAAGAGATAGAGATTTCCTGCATTAGCTTTTTTCCATTTTGAATTACCAACATTTCTTTTAAATAGAATATGGCCATCACAATCCATCGAAAACCACAGTCATCACCTACCAAAGCATTATTTACATAGATTTCCTTCCACGAAAATATACATGACAACTTTATCATATTATTAAGGGGATGTATAGTCACATCAATGAGATTCCTTTCACAATGTGTTCATCATGCTTTCCTCTTATTTTCTTGAATGTTAAATGCCTTTTTACTTTCTTTGCCCTAAATAAATAAATCAGTGGTAATGGCATCTTTAGGTGATGACTTAACAAAAAGAGCAATGGCAAGATTTAATTAGCATGATGATCAAGTAGCATGCATGCATCTATTCATGTTTGAATCAGTTCAGGTGTATGATTTTGCATCATCAACTTGAGTCACAACCATATAATAACATGCGTGGAGACATTACTATTGTAGTAAAAAGGTAGGACATTGGTATAATTTTTTTATGCTATTATTATATATTGTTATATTCCTTTGTACATTCACCCAAGAAACTATATATTCCTCCTTATCGAAATCCACACTTGGGTTTCCCAATACAATGTGCTAGAATATTGTTCAATTTATTCCATATTTTTCTCATTTGGTTCTTTTACACCCATTCTACCTACCTGTCACCCTCTTATGCATGTGTCCCCTAATATATTTTCTAAATCTTTCTGCCTCCTACTCTAGTTTTTCATCGGTTCATAGAAGAGAGAATTATCCACTACAAAGTATCTATAAAGTTAAGGAAATACCTTCTTTTATAGTACTTTGATATTTGAGTGTTTGTTATTTACTCCCACTTAATAGATTTAACCATAGTTATCAATATCTACTTTGTTAGATTTTATATTTTATAGTTTGATGTATATATATTGTATAGGGAAGGATAATTTTTTTAGACATTAAGAATATATTTTTATAGATGCATTTTTTAAAATTAGAGTTTTATTTTGATAATAAATATGATAAAGATTGATATTGAAAATAGATATTTATTATTAAAATGAATTTCAAACTATGACGACATTTGAGTAGAGAAACCTAAAAATAAGATTTTTTTTTTAATTATAAGAATAAACGATAATTTTAAATTTAAAAAATGAAAATAAAATTTGTATCATATTTAAGAGACTTGAAAAAAATAACCAACAAAAAAGTTATTACATGAAACTCGCGAACTCTTTGTTAAAAAAATGAATTTTCTTAAAAAAAAAAAATGAGATGAGTTTGATGATGTAGAGAAAGAATAATAAAATATTGAAGAAGGTTTACTATAAGAAGATAACCAAAATCTTAACATGACAGTGATGAATTTGGAGATAGAGAATAAAAAGAAACAATAATTCTAAGTCGCTAATTTATCTATCACGTCATTCTAAACAAAATAAAACTTATGGGTTCGTAACAATTTTGCAATAAAATAAGAATTATTGTTCTAATAAATAAGCATTATTGCGTTGAATTTAGAGATCTAAGAAAGGGAAAATGGAAAAGGATTGAGGCGTGATTGAATAGGAAAAGAAGAGAGTAGCATGCACCAAGTTTCTTCTTTAATATATAATTATATTATTAGTACGATTAATATTTATTGAGAGATTTAATTGACTATTTTCAGTAAAAAAAATTAATCATGTTTTTATTATTCATAAAACTTAGATTTAAAATCTTATTTAAATGATCAACTTTAGAATATATTTAGATATAAGTTAAAAATATTTTAAAATTTTTGATTAAAAAATAAAAAATATTTTCTAATAAAAAATTCTTCTTAATATTATTCATATTAACCACTTGTTGATGGAATCGGTACGAAGAGGAAGTAATTATATGAAAGATCCTTCTTTGTTGGGGGTCCTGCCTGGGATGAGTGACCCATTGGGGGACCATATTTCAATTTATTAATAATAATAATAATAATAATAATAATAATAATTATTATTATTATTATTATTATTATTATTATTATTATTTTCTGATGCATTCCAATTCAGCCTTGACTTGTTTTTCCAAGATCTACAAGACATTCTATATTCTCCGTCTGTCTTTCTTCCGTATTTTCCCATAGCTAGGGACCATTTTTATTAATTAATTATATACATTTTTTTCAAATGTTACCTTTTCTGTAATGGTTTAGTTTCCATGTAAAACAATTTACGCGATTAATTAATTGAAAATTATTATTTTTCTGGTTTTTTCTATTAAGCATTTTCTAATATTGCTAAAAAAATTAGATTTATATATATATATATATATATATATATATATATTTGAAGATGAAGAGTAATTTTAATTTATCATTATATAATATACTACTTGGTGGGTATGAATGTTTACTTTGTATGTTCCTAGATTATTTAGTTTTTTTAAGCAAAGATCATACTTGAACGTAATTGGCATTAATTACAATAAGTGGATTCCTTTTTTCTTTTTCATTTGTTTCGTGTAGGAATAGATATTATTGAGAATTGTATAAATTCTGGAAAATAGGGAAATTTTGGTCATAATTGAAAAAGACAGTCAGCAACGTAGATTGGGTTAAATCCATGGGTGGGGGCACTCACCAGCCATGAATTAAGAAGGTTGAGGTTGAGATTGAGAGGGACACACATTAAAATTTTAGAATAATAATTCCTTTTTTCATATACTAAAATGTTAAAGGTAGGTGTCAATTTTTGGCTGAAAAAGATCCATGAAAAATAGTCATTACTTTCGCATCAAGTTATACCTTTTAAGTTTTTAATAATCATCTACTATATTTTAATCAATTCTAATGGAAGTTGCTTGTTTCATGAAGCAATTCAAGTTCCAGTTTTTTATTATTGGAGGACTCTGACGTGATAACATAAGTTGTTTGATGAAGAGAGAGAGTTGCTTCCTCAAGCAACCGTTCCTTACCAGATTTTAAGCTAATTTTATTGAACATATTTAAAAACGTTTCAAAAATAATAAAGATAAAAATTAATTTTATTTAATATTTAAGTATTTATTATTCACAATTATGTTACAAAATATTTAATTTATTTAACTTTTTTTATTGGAACTCTGTTCATTTAATAATGTTTAGAAGTTTCACACTGAGGAACATCAATTTAATGGCCAGTGAATAATTCATACGAGTAAATTTAACATCACAACATAACCTAAAACCTTAAAATAATATTATATATATTTATCTTTCTTACTTATATACTACTCAATATATCAATGTAAGATTTTACTTCATATTTAGACTTTAACATCACTGAAGATATAATATTACAAGAAATTAAGAAAAAGAGAGAAATTGATAATGATTTGAATATAATATATGTAGTTGAGGATGATTGAATTAAAAGTGATTAATTAATGAAAGAGGTAAGTGGATGATTGGTATTGAAATATAAAAGGGAAAAAAAAAAAAAAAAAAAGAGGGAATGGAAGGTTATAGAAATAATAAAGTTATAATGGCAGAAGAATCTGAAACCTGGAAGGGCTCCATAAAATTTCAATACTAGAAGCCATAATGAGCAGAGTGGAAAGTGACGAGACTGACATTTCGCGATGATCGTAGAAGAAGGTCTTGCACGGACACCACACCTATTATCCCAACTCAAACTCATTACTCCTCCTATTGCCAATTTTCATATTTACTAAATGTTTTCAAATAAATAATATTTTTCTCATCATTCTATTAAAGAAATTAGTCTAAAATATGTGTTAAATTAACTTTTTAATATAATATTCATCACTCTTTTTTATTAATACTTCTTATATAAAATATTATGTAAGACACTTTCAACTAAATTATACCTTTTAAAAAAACCAACTAATTTAGTTTAAAATATTAAATTTGTTAATAATTTAAGTTTTTTTTCAAAATTAATTGTCTTTTTTTTATTTAATTATTTCATATCTAATTAATTAATGTTTGAAAAAGAGATATTAGAGAGGAATTTGTATCATAAATTTCAAACATTTATTATCTTTTATCTAAAATTTTCTAATTAAATTAAGAAATTTTAAAGAATATATAATTAATACAATTGACAAAAAATGATAGATTTACTGTTATTTTTAATATTTGTATATAAAAACTATAAATTGTGATCATAGAAGGAATATATGTCAGCTTCATACGTGGAAACGATGAAACTTAAAACCTAAAGCCTAATTATTTACCAATATCACACCGTGTTTCTCATTTTAAAATTAGACATTGAATGATTTTCCAGTCTCTTTCTTTTTGAATGGCCCACCAATTTTTTTGGGTATAAATAGCGAAGAAGGCAACCGTTTTTCTCACAACTCACAAGCAAGCATCCTTTGCTCAAAGCCTTATCAAGTTTCCAAGTTTCCTCTTTGACTCCCCAAAACCTCTCTCACCTTCTTCTCCCTTTGATTCTTCACTCACCCCAAAACAGAACAAGCACCAAGAAAAATGGTGTTGTTGTCCAAAGCAACATCAACAACAGAACAATACTCCTACATCAATAATTGCATGTCAACCACATTCTCCTCCTCATCAATTCCCATAGTGGACCTCTCCAAACCTGATGCCAAGACCCTCATAGTTAAGGCTTGTGAGGAGTTTGGATTCTTCAAAGTCATCAACCATGGTGTCCCCATGGATGCTATATCCCAATTGGAAACTGAAGCCTTCAAGTTCTTCTCTATGCCACTCATTGAGAAGGAAAAAGCAGGGCCTCCTAATCCATTTGGCTATGGCAGCAAAAGAATTGGACCCAATGGTGATGTTGGTTGGATTGAGTACCTTCTTCTCAACACCAATCAAGAACACAACTTCTCTGTTTTTGGCAAAAACCCTGAGAAATTCAGGTACCATATTATAAATAAATAAAAATTATATGCATGTATTTGCATGTTTGACTAGCTTCTCCAAAGCAGTTTTAAGTGGGAAAAAAAAAAAATCTTTCCTGTAAGTTACTTTATAAAAATTCTTATATTGATTTTTCCAAAATCATTTTTTTTAGTCATGCATAAGTAAATTTTTAATTTATGGAGAAATTTATTTAGGAAAGGTTATCTAAATCCAAGCTAAAATATCTAAACATAGTGATTGTAAAAATGATTTTTTTTTTCTTGGTGTTGCTGTTTTTCAGGTGTATTGTGAAAAATTACATGTCTTTTGTGAGGAAAATGGCATGTGAGATTCTAGAGTTGATGGCAGAAGGGTTGAAGATTCAGCCAAAGAATGTGTTTAGCAAGCTTTTGATGGACAAACAGAGTGACTCTGTTTTCAGGGTGAATCACTACCCTGCATGCCCTGAACTTGCTATGAAAGGTAAGAACTTGATCGGGTTTGGAGAACACACAGACCCTCAAATCATTTCTCTGCTTAGGTCCAACAACACTTCAGGCCTTCAGATTACTCTCAGAGATGGAAGCTGGATTCCAATCCCACCCGATCACAGTTCCTTCTTCATCAATGTTGGTGACTCTCTTCAGGTACAACACAAACCATGCTATTGGTGCACACCAAACGAAATAATTCCCATTTTCCTTGTGACTTTCCTGTTTCTATGGATAAGCAAAAAGAAAAATAAAAATATACAAACTCCTCCTTTTGAGTACCTTTTTGAAAATGTGTGCTCAAATTTTGGTTGACTTGATTACATTTCCACTTGGTGGTCTTTCAAAAAAAAATTCAAAAAGGAAACCCAAAAGGAGGAGCAAAAAGTTGTGCTTTCACTCATGTTATGTCAGTAGTACAACATGGAATAATATTATATTAAAAAAAGGGGTTTGTCATATGATTTTAATATGTCGTTGGTGACTAGTATTCTAAAGTGTTCATTGTGTGTGTATTTTTGAATTGGTCGGTGCATCAAAATAGGTTATGACCAATGGAAGATTCCGCAGTGTGAGGCACAGAGTTTTAGCAAATGGAATCAAGTCGAGGCTCTCAATGATTTACTTTGGAGGTCCACCTCTTAGTGAGAAAATAGCACCATTGCCTTCTCTCATGAAAGGAAAAGAAAGCTTGTACAAAGAGTTTACTTGGTTTGAGTACAAGAATTCAACTTATGGTTCAAGATTGGCTGATAATAGGCTTGGACATTTTGAGAGAATTGCAGCTTCATAAATATATATATGCTAGAGGAGTTTGAGGGCACTTGTCAATACAAAATGGGGGTTACAATATATACTATAAATGCTTCTTTTTTTTTTTTTTCATTTTGCTACTTTAAGGTTTTGTTTTTTTTTGTCAATCAGAATGCTTGTTAGATAGGACAGCATATATATACCCCTTTTGCTTCGACACTAGTGAATGACATATGTTGTTGTTAGCAATGGAGATCTGTTATTGGTCAAAAGCATAACACAAATTGCAGCATAGCATTGCAAGAATAATAAAGCTTATATTCCATGCATAATTGCATACAACTAAAAACTTGATTACTGTTTTGTAATTCTCTCAATAATCCTTCCTATTGCATAATTAATTCAATAGAACATCTCCAACTCAATGGCTCTTGTTTTTACCCTTTAAATATTCCAAGGGAACTTCATCATTGTATATTACTTATTTTTACTTTCTATAACTTAAAAAAATAAAAAGAAAAAAAGAAAACTTCTCCCTTTGACCCAACAATTTTAAAGAAAATTATTAAACGAGATTCACTCATAATATTACATTCTAATATTTCACCGAATTTACTTTTATTAACATTCTTTTATTATTATTGTGATATAATTGGATTCATTAAAGATTCAGCCTATAATACTTGACTAATGTTTAATAAGTAAAAAATCGTTGAGAGTTTAATTGAATAAGTTTTGTAGTTATTTAATATCAAAATGGAATCTAGTAAATATAAAAAATAATAAGAGAAGTATTAACAACATATTTTCTAATAAAATTTTTTTCATATATTCATTTTTATTGATTAAAATTCATTAAAAATTAAAAAAATTAAAGAAAAGAGTTAATAAATAAGATGTGAGACCTACCAAATTCTATATTTTTTAATAAAATTTTATGAGAGTGTGTTGTTCGTATTTCTTAAAACAATTATAAAAAGTTGTGATTAAAGATTTCTATTATACATCCACTCATAAAAATAAAAAAAAATCAAATGGAGGTGATCTTATAACAATAATAATAATGTAAAAAGTGACAAATTGTGTATGCTACATGAACACGTGTATCCGTACCACATATCTCATGACAATGAACTTGGTTTTTGGCATGGTGATTGGTGAGAGAGGTAACTTTTTTTATTGATAGAGAAAAAGGGTACCATGATCTCGGAAATATCTCAAAGAAATCTTTATAAAAAATATTAGAAGAAAAAAGAAAAGGGGTACTGAAACCACTGTTGAGATTACAGCACATGGCAATGATCAGAACATCTTGTGGGCTCATGTGTTAGGGACCATCTTTTGTTTTGCTTTGGTTTGATCTTTTGGGAGTGGAATTACAAAACTGTGGGCATTGGAGCACTAGGCCCAAAACAAACCGCGTAAGAAGAGAGGGACATAACACAAACCGTTCAACATTGATGACATGTTCAATTTCATGGCAACACATTACAAATTTGGTTAGAGAAGAGTTGTGGTGAGTATTGAATTGATGAGACCTCAATCCTAGTTCTCGGAAGAACCAACCTCTCAATCATGAGATTCTTTCTCCCTAATATGGATATATGAGTTGTACTCGAACAATACCCACCTCTTTTTTTCTATATCATTTTTTGGCTTATCAAGATACTCCTTCACTTCACCTACACAACATTATCATTCATTATAACTGTTTCGAGGTATTTTTGGTACATACTAACGTGGTGGATGTTTCACTCCATCAAGAAGCTTTCCACAAATAACGAACTCAAATGTGAAGCAAAATTTCTAAGGGCCTATTTATGTTCTCATCAAGTTTCCTTCAATGACAAAGTTATAAAAGAGAAAATTTATGTTCAATGTAAGTTTAAAATTCGAGAATAGAGTAAAACAAACACACAGTATTACATCCAAGTCAATGAGTATAAAAGATATATAAAAATAAGTATTCTTAATTAAATACATGTAAAGATAAAAGTATTATATGACAATAGCTAAAATTTATCATATATAGGTTCCTAAAAAAAAAGGAAATGTGTTCCTTTCAAAGTAATTCTTCAAGGAAATATTTGAGGAAATGTCTCTAGTTTTAATTTTTTTGTTCTCTCTTTTTACTTATGAATTGAACGAAACACATTATGTTACTTTAATTTTGTCTCATGAAAACATGATTGATCTAAAAAGAAGTATATATGAGAACATACTTCAAATAAGTTTTTTTTATAAATATATCTTATATACTAATTAAAGGAACCTTCTTAAATGTTTTGTCAAGCACATTTTATAAGTTTATTAATTTATCTAGTAATAGATTTATTTTAGTTCGTGAACACATGAGATCTAGTTTAGTTTAACTAATTTTTGTGCCTACCTAATTAAATAGTGTAAAATTATACTTCTAATAACAAATTATAAAAGAAATTAAATTTAATTAATCTAGTTATTAAATAATATGATATTATTTGATGATTGTGTATATTGAATTTTAAATTATTTAGACCATTCTGATATAAATATGTAACTTAATAATAACTATTTATTAATATTTTAAATATTATACAAGTTTAAATATACTTATAATCTCTTAAATTTAAGATAAATTTATTTTAGTTCTTGTAATTTCACAAAAAGTTATTTTAGTCATTCAAGACCACTAGTAACGTCATAAATAGTGATAATTTGAGTTAATTGTATAATAATAATTAAATTTAATGTGGTATTTTTATTAACAATGACACTTATAAATAAATTTTGTGAGATAAATTTAGAATTAGGTGAATTTTGTTTGATTGATTTATCAACAATATTTAAGTTGGAAAACTAAAGTAAGTTTTTTTTTTGGTCAAAGCATAGGACTATAATAGTCAATTTTAAATTTGTGGACCAAATTCAAATTTACCTATTTAAAAACTTAAAAATATATTTAAATCTAATTTATAAACATTAATAGAGTAATAAAATAAAATATCAAATAAATTTTAAATCACATATAAAATTTTATATACTTAATTTACTTATAATGATTTTTAATTTAACAAATGAATTGACAAAACTTCGTTTCTATAAAAAATAAAAATGTAAAATGTTTAATTTTATAAAACATGCAATAATTTATTAATTAATATACTTATATATTAAAATATTTTTTATTTTTAGCAATATGATATGACATAAATGAATGATTAACATATAATAATGTCTTTTGAACATATGTTTAATGAGGTGAAATTAAATAAGTCATGCAATCTATTAGTGATTCATGACTTAATCTATTTAAAGTTTAATTTAACGTAACTTATTTTTTTTAAAAAGATTAAATTTAAACCTTATATATATATATATATAT